TTTCTCAAATCTGTTTTCAATTGATTGGATGGAAAATGCTTCTCTACTAATGATTTTGCAAGAATGGTGCAATAGAGGTAGTTTTGATTCGGCTTTCAAAGCTCTGATTAAAGTGGCTTCATCATTTATTATTTGGGAGATTTGGAAAATGAGGAACAAGGTGATTTTTGAAGGAGAGTGTTTTATTCTACAAAAGGTGGTCTTTGCAATTGTGGAGTGTTTTCGAAATCTTTTAACGGCTCATGCATTGAAGGCGCGGAGTGAGGAGGACCGGAACCTCCTTGAAAGAATGTTTGGTGTGCGCTTGCTACATGTCAAAAGGAAGAGATGCACCTCAGTCCATTGGGTTGCACCGGATCAATGTGGCTATGCTTTAAACACTGATGGTTCTTTTGTGAATTCAGAATCGGGCAATGGATTTTCCACACGGAAAAGAGAGGGTGGTTTCTTGTATGGTGAAAGTGGTTATCTAGGTGGGGGAGGTAGCTTTGGAGCTGAAGTGTATGGAATGCTATTTGGAGTAAGAAAATGTGACCAACTTGGCTTGATGAATGTGGCAATACAAACGGATAACAAGACGTTATCACTTCTCTTAGTGGACATGAAGACAATACCTTGGAAATACTATTGGCAGCTTATGGAAATTCATCATATAATAACAAGGTGTTCTTATTCAGTTCATCATATTTTCAGAGAGGTAAATGTTGTTGCTGATAGCTTGGTAGGAGATGCATCACTTGGTAACTCAATTACATATAGTAGTATAGGTAGCTTACCTAGACATCTTAGGGGACTTGTACTCTTAGATCAAGTTTCCTTTCCATATGTACGAAGTCGATATAAATAGTTGCTTTGTATACAGGTAAGTCTTAAGCACTGCCAAGTTCTCTGATTGGTATTTAATAAAATATGGGGAAGGGTGGAACTAGGGAACTATATAGTATATATGTTTATCCCTTGGGTAGACCCCTTGGGTGCATTATACTATATGGCACTGGCTAGCTCAAAAATTTACCTCTTGGGTATACCCCTTGAGTTTTTTTGAACTAGTTAGAACCTGAAAGTCATCCTAACTTTTCTACTTAAAAAAAAAAATGATATCACATCAATTAGGATCATCCCCCAATAACTGTATAATTAGGGTTTTTCATTTTAAATTGTGATAGGAAAGTACCGCTATAAATGCCAACATATGTGATATGTATCAGGCACAGCCATAAAACTGAAAATCACCATATTTTATGAACATTTACAACTGATATTCACAGGATGGGGAACTTGATGACTGGCAGTCGATTGGAGGCTGCATGTACGCATCCTAAACGTGTGGAGTCCTACTTTGTGGAAGGCGCATTTGTCAAAACTTTTCCCATCAAGGAAAAGGTTAACAACAAGTCACTATGTTACGTAGTCATTCTTTGTTTGTTAAGGTTCTACTTTTAATTTTATAATCTATGTATATACTAACAATTACAGGGCACAAGATCTAACCCATATATAATTTGGAAACCATGATTCTCTGGAAATAGGTGTGGATATTAGAAGTTATGAGTTTTTGTGTTTCAAGGCAGCAACCATTTTAGAGTGAAAATGTTTCTACACGGGAATCAATACTTTTTTGACACAAGTTGAATACAGATCAATTGAATTGCAAGTTTTCAATATATTCATTCATTGGAATAAATAAAATCATTTTTTTGAAGCTCGTGTGATGTTTAATGTTTTACATCCATTTGTAAATGATGATTTTGAACTTTTGGAAATGTTCTACATGCTTTACGTTTTACATGTATTTGTAGACGATGATTTTGAACTTTTGGAAAAGTTTCAAAAAATATGGAAAAACTTATTTGCATATCATATTGATGAAAAAGGCCTCACAACCTGGACATTGCTACATACCTTGATATTTGAATTGAGTGTTTGAGTTTATTGATCTTATTATTTATCAAGTAAATTTGGTTGATTATTATGTATATTAATCTTAATATTCATCAACTAAATTTGTTTGATCATATTAATTTTAATATTCACCAAGTAAAGTTGATTGATTATAATTTTAAAGATCAATGCAATTATCACTGAACAATACATGTGTATAACTAATTTAGTCGTAGGTGGATGCTATTGTCTATAAGGTTGTTTATGGAGATAATTTGGTGACTACCATTAGCTTGGTGAGTTGGCAACAAAGATAGCCGTTTATTGTAAACAAAGTTCGTGGAGAATCATTTGTTTTTATACTTGACTACATCAACATTATGAACCCGGCACACTAATAAAGTAAATGAATTTTTTGTTAAATAAAGTATGGTAGCTTTTACACTAGTCTTCTGTCAAGAGAGTGGCCACACGCTCAAAAAAACTGGGAATAACATAACCGTCCTGAAGGCTACCCTTAACTGGTCCCCTCACAATCCAATTGCCAGCACTGCTCACTAAAATTATTAAAAATAAATCATACATTTTTTTCAAAAATATTTGAAAAAATTGTTATATTATAATTTAAAAAATAAATATTATACCTGATGATGATGATTATGCAGCCACAGACTCACTGCCGCCATGACGAACAGTAAGGCATCTAACTACAGGGGGAGGTCTAACTGGAGGTGGACATGGAGGTGTGTCATCTTCGAAATGATTATACCCATCCGAATCGAAATTCTCGAATGGAACATTTTCTTCGTCAATGACATTCTCCCAGTCCAGACTAGCCTGATCAAGTACCTCGTCAAGTCTCCGTGGACCAGACCCAACCATCAATATAGAATCAGGTACAACTGGTCTTTTCGGTCTTTTTTCTTTAACCTACATTGATTAATATATAACTACACTACTACTATAATTCACATAAAAATAAATATAACACATAAATTAAACATATGATCAAATAATCAAATAATAATAACATCTTTAAATTATAACCTATTTAAAATATTGCTAAAATAATTATGACACATAAATTAAAACATGCTCTAATGTTTTAAAATATAACAACTACTTATTTAAAACTACGGTTATAAATTCAAATAATTATAATATCTTTAAATTATAACCTATTTAAATTATTGCTACAATAATTATAATACATAAATTAAAAGATGCCATAATTATTAAAATATAAAAACTAATATAATTAAAACTATATTATTTTTAAAATTCTAATTTATACTTTTTATTCCAATTTATTTAAATTATAATAACATGAACACCAATAAATAAAACAAAATATAATTAAAACTAATTATCGAAAAATAAAATTAATAAATAAATCAATAAAAAAATAATTACTCAGGGGTAGCCGGCTACCTCTGGTTGGGTAACCCCCGCTGGATTGGCTACCCGGGGGAAGGTAGCTAATCCGAGACCGGCTACCTTTGGAAGAGTAGCCAAAAATGTTTTTTAAAAAATTCTTGAATGGAGTAGCCAGCATCGGACTAGCTACCCCAGTTTGGGTAACCCTCGTGGGATCGGCTACTTGGGGGAAGGTAGCCGATCCAAGACCGGCTACCTTTCGAAGAGTAGCCCGACGCTGGCTACCCCATTCCAGAATTTTTTTAAAAAAAAAAAAAAATTTCGAATTTTTTTATTACAATTTTGATAAAAAAAAAAAAACCTTACTGGTGCACAGGGCGAGCTTCCCTGACTTTGTTTGCCTCAATCCGCCTTTTTTTAGCTCCCGAATCTTTGTAGATCTAATTTTAAAGATTGGATTTTGGGTTTGAATGTGAAGAAGAAGAAAGGAGAAGGAGGAAGGAGGAAAAGGAGGAAGTAAGGGGAAGGAAATGAGGAAGAAGGGCAAAAATATCCAATCGACTGTAAATGAGTAATTTTTCTGACTACAAAAAGCAATTCAGATGTATGTTTATGCGTTTATCCTGATTATATATATTAAGGAAGTACTATTTTAAATGGATTAATTTTATGGCATATTAATCATTTAAATATATTTTTTTCTCGATTACATATTCATTTGTAAGTACTAAATCCATGTTTTGTGTTTGTACTTGACCGCATGCACTATTTTCCACAAATATGGCGACTTTTGTTAAATTTTAGAAATATTATTTGGTAAAGAAAATCAATATATCACATCCATAATTAGTGCTAACATTCTCGATTACTTCTATTAATTATGGGATAATTTATATACCAAAATTGAAGACACCCAACTATTAAACTTTTCCCCCAAAAAAAAAAAACAAAAACACATGGCTCCAGAACTTAAACAAAAACGAAAGTCCCTTGATTTTTTGTGTAGTTTGGGTGTTACTCGGTTTTCTGGAAAAATTGAAACAAGAGAAAAAGGGATCGATGAGTTTGGACTGAATATATGCACTGAATTCGGTAATTTATTAGCATATGTCATCAAACAAATGACCTGTGTTATTCAAATGTTGATGAGTGAATATATGTTTTTTTTTAAATGGATTGAATACATGTAACTGAACAGACAAATGGAATTACCTCCCAAAAAATGACAAAAGAAAATATATTTGATTCATTTCTTCTTCAAATTATTCTTCTATTACCTCACATTGACGTAACATATGATCAAATTGCTCTTTTACCGATCCACTAAAGTAAGTAAATGATACGCACAAGTTATTATATAATATTTTTGAATATTTGCATTTCTAATGCAGAACCTATGCATATGATTTGTAAAAAGAAACAAAAAAAATTACTTTGCACGTTCACCGTATCAAATTTTGACATATCTGTTATTCAAAATTTTAATACTTATTATTTCATAAATTATGATTTATTTTTTAATACATTTTTGTCAATATCTCATAAATTATTATTATCTATCCCGCACATCATGCAGGTGATATCAAGTAATATATTCTATTTCTACAACATTTCTTATGTCACTCACTAAGATTTTGACACATGATCCTGATGATCCAATAATAAGTTAAGATGTTACTAAAAGAAAAATTAAAAAGAAAGTAATAATTGAATAAAAAAGGTAATAAGTTTTATATGGTAGTTCAAGAAGTTTTGTATGATTGTAATGTAGGAAATCCTCAGCCAATAAAATACATCATGTAAAAATGTTTCGAGGACATAATTTAGTTGCAATTATAAGTTGTTGATATCATACTGTAATTTGAATGACACTCTGCTCATGCGTGATGAGCAAAGCTTTTTTATACCGAAATCTAACACAATTCGTACAACACCGATTTAAATTTAACTTATAATTAAAATGATGAAGTAATTGGTTTTTCAATCCGACATAGTCCAGGTCATATCATTCTCGAAAATCCAATGGCAAACCTCAATGCGCCCAGGACCAAACCCAAGTGCTACAAAAGCCCCGTGACCAGAACTCCAAGTTGACGTGTCCATATGACAAATTGCAACACCATGATTTATCCTGTTCTTCGACTCAACATCAAGAATATCTACTTCGTATACCTTCACTTTTGGGACCGCATGGCAGTAATACAGTAGGTAAGGGTACAAATTTTGATGGCAAGATACCGATTTCGTCAATCGTCCGCCGTTGATTCCCCTGACTTTCCCGATCATCACATCCTGCTTCGAACCATCCACATTTTCTGTTGTCCGGACGATCAAATTTCGGCCTAAAACGGAAATGGCGAAGCCGATCATGTCCTCCGGTGAGCCGACACAACATTTGGTCTCGCCGGGGCTTGCCGGGCGCTCGCATTCTTGCAGGGCGTTCAGGATTATGCCCTCCATTGTTGAATTATCCGAAGCGTGGAATAGTTCTTTGATACTCTGCAACTCCATGGTTGAAAATGGCATTCTTGAAGAAATAACTCTGGGTAAGAAAGATCTCTTAGGCATTTTATCAACTATATCAGGCATTTTCATGATTGTCCCTTCTTTCAGCTGAAATTCCCTGAAGAATTTACCTTCCTCTACCCAGTGTTTTACAGGTTTATTGGCTATGGATTCGGGATGGCCTGGTTTGGTATACAAAGCAAATGTGACACCCTTTTTAGAATAATCTTTGAAAGTGTTATTCACACCATAAAGCTTGAAATCAGTTGATGGATCTTTAGCTCCTTTGCCATATCCTTTGAAAGTATCTGTTCCTCCATTGATTGATTTCCCATAGTTAGCGAATTGGGTTTTCTCTGAAACAGAGGATTTTCCATACGATTGAAAAGTATCCTTGCCTGAATTGGCTGAATTTCTGTAGCTTGTGAATGTGCCAATGCTTCTGTTCCCAGCAACTCCATAATTATTGAAATTATTACCCGGGTTGTTTGCATTTGAACCATATTCCTTGAATGAATCATTTCCCCTGTTCCCCAATCCACCATAACCTGTAAATGAAGACCAAATCACATTTGAATTGTTTCCATAACTGGAAAAATCAAGAGGGATGTCGTCGCCATTCTTTGTGTAGCCAATGAAACCTTGATTTCCAGAGTTGGTATCATCGGAATAGCTCGAAAATGTGAGCTTATGATTCTTTCCATCTGAATCATAAGAAGTAAACTGAAGATCAGGTACATTAACCCGAGGTAAATACCTCTGGAATTCGCTGGAACCACCGATAGCGGCCGAGGAATAGGATGTAAAGTTAGAACTTGCCACATTGCCATCATCTGCATAGCTAGTGAACTCCTCATGGTGATCATTCGATCCGCGACTGTATCGCGAAAACGATCCGGTCGCGAAGTTCACGCCGTTCGAGTAGTTCTTGAATTCGTCGGCTCCCCCGAGACGCGAAGATCCGTAATTGGAGAACTGTTTGTTTGTATAAAAAGAAAAACTGGCATCTTTTGGCAGGTTGGTTTTGGTTTGTGGAGCATTAGTGTCAATAAGGCAGAACAAATTTGCAAATGAACAGAACAATGAAAGGTGGGAAGACAGAGCCTTTTGGGATGCAAGCTTTGTGAAATATGCAGAGTTAACTACGGAGAGTGGTGAGACTTTGGAAAGAAGAAATGAAGGCTTTGGAAGATTGTTTGAGATGTGATCATTCCAATAACGAATCAATGAAGCTTTTGCTGTTAGAGGGCTTTCTTTAGCTAATGAAACCTGCAAGCACAAGAACAAAAACACAAAAGAAAATGAACAATATAAATTGTTAGAGGAAATAGGTGACCATAATGTGATTGAGAAATTTAGCCAAAGGGTAACTTACAGTGAAAGAGAAAGCTGTCAAGTACAAGATTGAGAAGAAAATTGCAGAATTGGTGAGCTTGACATTCTTGTCCATTTTCTCAGATTGTACTCAAATGAGGAGACTCCTCTTCTTCTGGTTTGGCTGGTGTGGGGAATTTGGTTTTCAAGACAGGGACATATATAAGGTGAAGACAATGGGAAAAAAACAACTATTGTCATCCCAATTTTTCTTGCTCCATACTTCTCTTTTCTTGATGTATTGTCCCAAACAGTTAGTAAGAATGATTCAAAAAACAAATGTCAATATTTTTTCCATACCCAAATAAAAAAAATAAAATAAAAACCTTTTTCTTTTTTTTTTCTCTATTTATTTTGGTTTTAGATTCAAGTGCGTGGCACGAGACTGCTGACAAAAGCTTGTTTCTTTTCGGGTGATTCGGACCACATTATCTAAGCCATGCGCAGAAAACAATACTCAGAGGGGAGCACTGCCACTCCAAATTGATTCTGCAGGACGCCAACTCCAGAATCCACCACAGTACCCCAAATTCATGAAAATTGGGCACTAGGGGACAAACTACAAGAGGGTAATTCGCCAAATACTAAGAAGAATGATCACATATCGATATTCAAACCAAATGATCGCTTTCTTAAAGCAAAATAAACCTTTAAACAGAAAAGAACCTGTGCCAAAATGTTTCAATCGGGACAAGACCATGATTTACACACCACAAAAAGGAAAAAAGAAAAAGGGGGGGGGGGGGGGGGGGGGAAGTCTGGTCTTTGATCAGAATCTAACAACAGCAGACTCGGGAACTAATCTATAATAATAATAATAAGCTAATATAAAAGTCACGCTTGGCCAAATAGTTTCTTGTGTCACGAACTTATTTTTTTAAGATATAGAAAATAAATGATTGTAAAATCACCATTGTATTGATGCCGGTATAACATATTTATACAGATTAAGTTGACCTAAAACCCTAACCGTAAAAGTAATTATACAACTATTTACGATTTACAGTTTACGTTGATTACTCCCCCTCAAATTGGAGCATGTAGATCTCTAATGCCCAACTTATGTATCAAGGTATGAAATCTGTCTCACCCCAAGGCCTTGGTAAATAAATCGGCCAACTGCAAATCTGAAGAAATCGAACGAGGCACGAGCAACTTAGACTGGAAATGTTGTCGAACAAAATGACAATCAATCTCAATATGTTTCGTGTGCTCATGAAATACTGGATTCGCAATAATATGGAGGGCCACCTGATTATCACAATACAATGGAACGGGTTGAGCCGAAGGCACTCCTAACTCACCCAAAAGTCGAACCAACCACACAAGTTCGCTAGTTGCAACTGCCATAGCTCTATATTTCGCCTCTGCTGAAGAGCGTAAAACCACAGTCTGCTTTTTAGATCTCCATGAAATTAGAGAAGAACCCAGGAACATAAGATAGCCTGTGGTCGAACGACGAGTAGTGGGACACTCAGCCAAATCAGCATCACAGTACGCACGCAACTGTAAAGAAGTATCTGTAGGTAAAAATATGCCCTGGCTTGGTGCTGTCTTCAAATAATGCAAGACTCGCTTCGCAGCATCAAGATGAGGCTGTCGTGGCTTATGCATAAACTGACTAAGCACATGAACTGCATAAGCTATATTCGGACGCGTAATAGTAAGATATAAAAGACGCCCAACAATGCACCGATATCGGCCAGGATCATCACATAATGCCCCCGAATCAATGGCCAAACCATGTTGTTGCTCCATCGGAGTGGAACTCGGACGACATCCAGTTAGTCCACACTCTACCAATATATCAAGTGTATACTTTTGTTGCCTAAGAGCAATCCCTGTCGGAGATCGAGCCACCTCTATGACCAAAAAATATTTCAGCAGACCAAGATCTTTGATATGAAAGCGCCCATGAAGATATCTCTTAAGCCGACCAATCTTAACGGGATCATTGCCAGCCACAATAATATCATCAACATAAATTAAGACCGCAAGAAATGAAGACCACTCTTATAAGTAAATAAAGAAGAATCAGAGTAAGACTCCTTGAAACCAGCAGAAATAAGTGACTGAGTGAATTTTTGATACCAATTCCGAGAGGCTTGCCTCAAACCATAGAGTGACTTCTTAAGACGACAAACACGGTGCTTCCCCTTTGTGGCAAAGCCCTGAGGAATTTTCATGTATACTTCTTCCTGAGGATCGCCATGTAAAAAGGCGTTGGTGACATCAAGCTGATGAAGGTCCCAATTGCGAACAGAAGCCATAGCTAATAATCTGATGAAGGTCCCAATTACTTCAGATTTTTTTGTCTTGAGAAATGTGCATCTGTGCTTTCTTTATGAAGTTGCGAGCTTTTGAATACTGCTCTCGGTTTTTAGATTCTAGCGGGATAATCAGAATGCAACAATTGCAAGCAGCTTACTATCAAGAGCAAAACACTGCAGTCAGACATTTTCCAGGTAGGAGTAATAAGGGAACGGCAATTGTTATGCTCAGAAGTTATCACGTCATACAGTCGCAGTGATCGGCGGTGAGTAAAGAGACAACGTCAATCTGGTGTAGCCAGCCTTTACCGGAGAAAACCACGAAAGCAACATCCTGGGAAAAGCACAAGGAATGCCCTGGACACCAAGAACCAAATTAGTGTAATCAGACTCAAGAACCATCAAATACTCACAGTTTGCAAGACCTACAGTACCTGTGAATGTAGCAGTAAGTTTCTGGTTATGGTTTTAGTCTACAAATTTCTTATTCAAAGTAACATCAAAACTCTGGTGTATTTTAGTTTCTCTTTTGTGTGTACTCTACTTCCATGTCACGAATTTACCGGATATTGTAACTTGGACTTTACATATGGGTGTGAGTTTTGATGATCAAGAAGACTAATAATTGGCATTAACTTTGGCAAGAAAGTTACCAACTTTCATCTCTGAGAAAGGCATGTAGGAAGCTTCAATCTAAATCCTGGTCTATTTGCTCTTTTATTTTTTGAGTTGGCAAGGAGATGTTGCACTTTTTAGGTTCTGACCTGATTTAATATCTTACAATATATTGGTGTTTAATTACGAGCTCTTTTATTAAACAGGGACGACATCCACTTGCCTCCATCAAAAAGCCCGGAGTGCTTTCTTTATGATGTTGCGAGCTTTTGAATACTGCTCTCAGTTTTTAAATTAGAAAGGCTTGACTGCTATTTTGTTTCAGAATCCTTTGTTTTGATGTTTCACTTAGCTCCATGTTATGTAAATTTCGGGCTGCCAGGCAGGGTAGAACATCTCAGACCTGATTGCCATCTAATAGGCTCTGTTATACCCAGTTTTTTTGACAGCCTTTGACAGCCCTAAAATGTTATTTGGGGCATACCGCTCACTCGGGCTCCGGTTAATTGTTGTAGTAGGTATCCAAGCGGAAAGGTAGCTTCATCAAAGAAAGCAATAAGCAATGTCCTTGTCAATTCAAACTCCTAGGTGGAACCACAGCATTATGTAAGGACTGCTGTTCACAATTTGCAGAGATTCTCACCGTGCAAATGCTACGATTGATGTTGTTGGGATCTTGTCAAAGACTTCTGCTACCATTGATTAGCATGTTTATTCCCTGCTACCGTTGTCGACCCTGACAATCAAAGATGAATGACTATATTCTAACTCAAATTTCAAAAGAGGTAAATTATTTTAGTGTTGAAGCTCTAATAGTGTGCCTGGTTTGGCGGTACAAGGTTGTTGGGGTGCTATTCAGTGCCTTAGTTAAATAGTAACACAGAAGAGAGTCAACTGTAGCCTTTTCGTTTAGTTGGGTTTTGTAGTTGTTATGGTTCTCGGCAGAGTACATTATGGTCAGTTGGTCGCCGACCTGATCAATAGCTTAGCTAAATTAATAATAATGCAATAATTGTCCTTACTAAATCTGATTTTATTCTCCCCTGTTTTCGATTTTTTCGAAAGGAAGTTTAATTTTGTGTTCAGATGAGTTTGTAGTATTATAATATTACTTTCATCATTCTACTTCGAGAAAAAGAATGTCAGTAACCCACGCATGGTTACATTTGCTGAATTTTTGTTGAATGGAAGGCTCGTAGTCGTAGATGTAAAATGTCAGTTAAACGAATATTATTGCCATATCATGCAGATTTCTTTCTAAATAACTTAAAATAATTCTTCCTCTCTGTCCTATGCATTGAAATCAACTTCCAGCTAATGAATGTTTAATTTTTATAATTAGTTAATGAACGTCTAAATGTAAAAAAGTCCTTATATGATAATTAAGGTTACAAGCAAATTTATTCGACACATAATCAAAAAAATTGCATTGCCACCTAACATCGTTCACAAGATAAATTCAATACATTCATGTAGTATAAATTCAAACTGTTTCGATTTTTTTTTTCTGAAGTGCATTGTGACATGAACTGTATGTAAGATGATTAGGAAAAATAAGTTGGCAAATTAATGTAAAAATTATTTGCAAATTACCATGACTCAGACCCTGTGTATCTATCTCGTATTCTAAAGCAACAACCATTACGAACCTTTAGACTTGAGCTGAATACTACAAAATCTTTTTTATTTTTCATCAAATTATTAATTATCATAGCTAATATAATTAAATTCTTTTTTTAAAAAAGAAAATTATGACACCAGATTATTTATAGGGTGCGTTGCGCATGGCGCGACAAATGCTAAGTACTAGTAGAAAAAAAAAAAAAAGCGTTTGATTGTCTTCTTAAAAGTAATATCACAGAGGTCTCTGAATTAATTTCGGTTTCCACGACTCACCAGAGAAAGCAAAGCAGGGAACCACCGAAAGGTATGTCGAATTGACTGAATTCGGACAGCAAATGATGAATGCCAAAGACATAGCAGCTCTCCCACAGATCATCCGCTGGTTTGTTCGGAAAACTCAGTCGACGAGGAAAAATGCCGATCTTCCTCTTCAAGCCAAGAATTCTGCAACATTTCTTGTATCTGGAAAAAAGAGATTTTCCAATTAGGCAAACACACACAGTGCAAGCGCATGGAATTTTGAAGATGAAAATCAAAAGGAAAAGAAAATCAGTTCTTAAGCCAAACGAAATACCTTCTCCTCTTCGCCAGGCCCCCACGTAGGAATAACCAAGACTTCCAGGATATCATTTCCGAAGTCTCGCTGTTCCTTGAGAATCTCTTCTGCTGAATCTGAGAGCTGGTCAGAATAATACACGGCTATCTTCTTCAATGTAGGAATGTATCCTAGTTCGGATGGAATCTCGATAAGGTTGGAACAAGCTCCCAGTATGAGCTCTTCAAGGCGGGGGAATGACCCATTTTGGACAATCAATTCTTCAAGGAATATTACAGAGAGTTCCAAATACTTAAGATTCATGAATTGGCCGTCTTCCACAACCCATTCACTTCCTGAAAATGCATTAAGTCTCAACTTGAGAACCTCCAAACTAGGCAACTCCCCTACCGCGGATATTCCACTCCACGGCAGGGCTAATTCACTCAGTGTCAATTTTCTAAGACTACTGGGAAATGCCAAAGCTGGAGTCCGATTCCATTGCCACCAATGGGGATCCATTCCACAAACATGCATATTAAGTGATAGGAGATGATTCAGATGACTCATTTCTGGAAACTCATAATGACGATCGCTCACAAAAGATATTTCACACCTGAGCTTCCAAAGTCCTGGCAACCTTCTCAGTAGTTTGTTGGTTTCATTTCCCCATTTGAAAAATGGTGTTGTGAGAATTTCTAATTTCTCTAGTTGACCATATTCATGATCCTCAACCTCATATGGTAAATTCAAATGGAAAGCATGTATGTACCTCAAGCTTTTCATCCCCCAGAAGGATTTTGGCAGTGAGAATTCCGTGTGCGGATTTGCAAAAATTAAAACTTCCAGGTTCCATAGATTGGCGATGGATGGTGGAAGCTTTGTACCCTTGCAAAAAATTGCTAGGTATCGCAAATGTACCATCAATGTTAACTCTTCAGGAAATGGATCACCCATCTCAATGCACTCCATGTCTAACACATGAAGAAGCATGAAACTGTTGAAAAAACTAGAGGGGGATTGAACGGTGCATTCTTTGCGAACAATTACTAGAGAGTGTGAGATTAAACCTATAGGTTTAGGTTTACTGATCTTGCCACTGTCCGGAACAACTACAGAGGTCACAAATGGACCTATAAGTTTAGTTTCAATGAACTTGGACCACTCAGCACGGATGCACAGACGATATGAGCTCTTATACTGATTGGGATTTGAGGAAGAACAAGAAGAAACATCTTTGTCATACACCCATTGCAAAAAGTTATCTTCTCTTGTCTTCAACCAGCATAGATCATGTATTAGATCATGAACACGACAAGTCTTGATGCCACCATTTGTACTTCTCTCAGCAAGCATCACCAAACTTCGACTGATAAGATCCTGCAAGTAATTCTCTGCCACTTCATACAAGCTGATCTTGTTGCTACCATTTCTTGGTATCAGTCCTTCTGCAATCCACAAACTCATCAGCTTTTTGGCTCTGACAACCGTATCCTCTGGGAATGTTCCGAAATAGAGGAAGCAGGGTTTCAAATAATCGGGCAAATGCTTGTAGCTTAGTTCAAGGATAGCCTTGCAGTCTTCAGCGATAACCTGAGAACTTGAGCGACATTCAATTAGCCTCCAGAATTCTTTGCCCTTGCCAGCCAGGATACCTGCAACCAAAATCACTGATAGAGGCAACCCTTTACAGTTTTTGGCAATATTGTTAGCTATTACTGATAGTTCGTCATCAAGATCTGAACTATGAATACAAGATAACTTCCCTTTCATTAACTCCCAACTCTCCTCATCAGAAAGTGACCGGAGAAAATGGACACTGCAATTGATCATCTTTGGTGTTACCAAATCTTGGATCCGACTGGTTAATAGAATTCGACTCCCACGCATGTCATCTGGAAATGAATTTTTTATGCCTTCCCATGCTTCAATATTCCAAATGTCGTCCAGAACAATGAGATACCTTTGATGCTTCAATTTCCTCCAGAGTTCTTGAGCCAAATCATCATCAGTGCATTTGGAATAATGCTTACGAGCATTAACTTCAGCGACTTCACTTAGAATGTCAAAGTACAACTCTCTACAACTGTACACTTGGGAAACACAACACCACGCACGTTTAGTGAAGTGGTATTTGATAGATGGATCCTTATATACTTTTTGAGCCATGGTAGTCTTACCGAGTCCCGGCATACCTACAATAGAAACAAAGTGAAGCTGTTTTGTTCCCCTTGTGAGCATATCAATTATCCCCGTTGACTCATCTTCCAAATCAACCATAACCTCTTCAAGAGCTGAAGGATTTGCTTGCCTGGAGGGGGCATGATTAGAATGTGGCTCACCACCTGTCATCAATCTGGTGGTCTTGTACATCTGATGATCCCTGTGCCTCTTCATTTTAATTTCAGAAAGATTAATCGCTTGTGTCACATCAGAGAGCCGCAACATATCGTACCAAATAGGATGATTTTTAACTAAACAGGAGCTAATGACATGTTCTGCTAGAAAAACCAAATTGATAATTCCTTCACAGAGATATTTCAAGTCCTTTCTAACTTTTGCCAGCTCCATGTTAGTTTGAAGGAATAATTTGAAGGAATTAAGCTTTTCTTGGACCATCACAACATGATCTTTTGCAAACTCAACTTTGATAATCATTTCCTTCAAATTCTCTTGGAAAAGATCCATATGTCCCATAACATTTGTCTTTGGAAAATTGAAGTCCAATGACTTCAAAAAGGGGACATAATAAAGCTCTCTAACATCTAGTTTCACTTTGTCAATTTTCACTTGCAGATTAGAGAAATTCACAACTTTTTCTTTGTCCATGCATGTTGAGAAAATGAGAGACAGTACCTCCTCTAGAAGCACATCAATTCGCGGCCGGATAAGTCCATGTCCAGTAAATGGTACAGCTTCATCTTCTTTTGGAGGATCCAAAAAGAAGCTTAACATGAATATCAGACCGTCTTTGAGGATTTCAACATAATCCTTTAAAGGCTCAGCGACTAGATCTGCTACCAAAGAATCAACAATCCTGACAACAATTTTGCCGACTTCAATCGTGTCAGATTTTGATGGCTTTAAAGCTCTTAAGACCCTCATAAACAGCCTCATATCCTCTGGAGTGAAAAGCTTATACTTCTTATGCTGTAATAGATCAGAAAACACAGTTTCCAATCCTCGGCCCATGGTCGTCTCATCCTTCCCTTTCAGTAAGCACAAAAGGGACAAACTTGCTGCATTGTTCACCCAATCGTTGACGTAAATGAACAATTCTCTCAGCAGCTGATGGTCAGGACATCTTTTTACAGAAAAATAAGAAAGGGCCCGAAGTAAAATAAGCTTTTGATGATCAACCAAGATTTGGTTCTTCAAAGAAACTGTCAGGTCCTCAACTTTCGAGTTGGCAAGATCCATCAAGTTCTCAGCAAGACATTGGATGGTATGACTTATCTCAACAAATGAACAAGACCTGGATTCGAATGAGTCTAAGGTAGCAGCACCGATTTTCCTAATTTCTGACTCAATTTGATCAAATTTTTCTTGCAAATGAGGAACCAAAGAAACCAAATTTGACACCTCATCAATGCGTCCGTTGATAATACGAGCTTCTTTCAGCACTGCTTCAAGGTTATCAAGTGCATTAAGCAACTTGATATCCTTATTTCCCCACCAAAACTGCCTGATCATAAACCTTATCAGGAATGCTAACTCCTGCTGTAAAAGAACTTCTGGAAAGCCATATTGGATTTCTAGCCTATCCATTTCTTCAACAGCAGAATCAACAACTCTAGTACTGTAACCACTGGCATCAGCCATTTTTGTTGTGTGTTAACTCTAACAAATGGTAAAAGTAGTAAACACTCTCTAAAGAAGTGCTATAGTATTGATATGCATGATGTTTAGGCCTCTTAGCAAGTCAATGTTCCCTGATCAAATAATTTTTTTATTTTTTAATTTTTTTGTGAGAGGAAAAAACAAAACAAGTTGTGCGCTAAGGATAATATTACACAATCCCACAATTAGTCACATTAGTGATTAGGTCCAGGCCCCTCAATTGCCCAGCTCACTCCATTTAATGAGATGGAGAAAATTTGGCTGAAATCTGTTAGACGTAGATTTGCAGGGATTTAAAGCAGCCAAATTGGACTAGAAATTTGCATAAGCAATTATGCATTAAATTCCCCTGCAAGAGCAACTTGTTTTCGCACCCACTACTTTGGGGTCTTTTCCCTAAAAAAATTAATTAAAATAAATGTGGACAAATTTAAATTTTTCAAAATATTTGTGGACAGGAATATATCCCACGAATTTTTGAAATCCGAGTTCTAATTAAAATTAACGATTCGGATTTCGGAAATTCAAGACTCCATTTAATAATAAAACAATAATTAAATAAATTTTGTTGAATAATAGTTTTTAAAAATTCTTAAATGAACAGTGCCGTTCGGATTTGCAGAATCCAAATTTAATTAAAAAATAAATAAATTGAGGCGCGAAATATTTGAATTCAAATAAGGAGTCCAGGAGTCCAGGTCCTGGACTCCTTAAATAAACAGTAGTACTAGGATTTACAAAATCCAAGTTCTCAAAAAGAAAAAAAAAAAAATCGAGGCGCGAAATTTTTGAATCCAAAAACCGGAAGTCCGTAATCCGGTTTTCTGTATTCGGATTTTGGAAATCCGACTCCTTTTAATTTTGGTTGGTGGAAGTAGGCATGTGCCATAAATTGGAAGACCAAAAAATGAATAAAAAAATCCGGAACTGACCAAATTCGGATTCCGGAAATCCGAGTCCATCGTAATTCGGATATGGGAAATCCGAGTTACTTACGGACTCGGATTTAGGAAATCCGAGTTTATCGTGCTATAAAAAAAAAATTCAGATAGTTCTCATTCGAGAATTGAGTTGGATTTTCTGTTTCTGCAGCTCAAACAAGGGTCAATTGGAGTTTTTGATGCATTCTTGCCTCTAGATACGTGGAAATCGTTATTTGAAAGAGGTTAGATTGCAAAACCATGTTATTTAGTTCAGTTTTGTGTTATTTTGATTGTTAGAATGATGTATGATAGATTAGGGTTTATGTTGGTTGGATGTTTTAGGTGTTGATTTTTAGGTTAGAGATGAGAAATCATAGTTATTCATGAGATATGGAAGTTGATTTATAAGTATTTTAGTATTTTATAGGTTTTTTGAATTATGAATGGAGTATGTATTGTATATTTGTTGATTTTGTTATTAAGAAATGATTAGATATTGATTTTTTTAAACAGTTATCAATGGCACGTAATATATCATACATGCTTAATTTGTTTCATACAAGCAAGTATATGATAGAGAATGGTAGCATCAACACTTTTTCGAATATGCCGGATCATGGTTTGTTTGTTGAGGAAAGGTTGTCGTATGAGGGATTGATTAGTAAGATTTGTATGACACTTGGTTGGGATCCAGCACACTTGAAACTCCATCCTTCTTTCATTTTCGATAGTCCCGGTGGTAGGCGTGGAGTGAAGATCAAGAATGATTCACATGTAGAGTTCATGAACCGTATAGATCCAATGTCATGTTTGGATTTATACATAGATTTGGAAGATATCACTCACGAAAAAAGAGAAGCGAGTTTGGAAAACAACGTGTCATTTGGTGGTTTTCCAAGGGGGGAATGTGCTGGTACTTCTCGAATCCGTGATGAAGAGGAGACACCTTTATTTGCACAAGATGACTACCGGAAAGAGTTGGATCCCGACTACATAGCTCTAAGCGAAAGCGAAGAAGACTGTGATGTCTCCGGAGAGAGTGATTTTGAAGAAAGTGATGAGGAAAGGTTATTGAAGAAAGTGATTTTGAAGAAGACTGTAATGTTAACATTGAATTGTTCGGATTGTAATGTTAACATTAAATTGTTGGTGCTGGTGCTGTGATTGTGATGAAATAGGGGCTAGTTATTGATAACAGGTTTTGGGATTGTGCAAAAAACAAAATTGTTCATTTTAAGGTTTTGTATAGGATTCGGATTGCCGAAATCCGAAAGTAGATGTTTTGTATTACGTTCGGATTTCGGAAATCTGAAACATGGCCGATTTCTTGCAGCAAAGTTCTCGGATTTCCGAAATCTGGGTTTTTGCAATTCGTACTACGTTTGGATTTCGGTAATCTGAATTGAGGAAAGTATCCGGGAGTGTACAATTTGAGGAGAAACAGGGGAGATTCGGATTTCTGAAATCTGGATGTGGTAGTTTCGAATTTCAGAAAGCCGAGTTTTGCGGGACTATATATAGCCCGCCAACTCTTCCTCCCCCCCCTTTCCCCCATTTTCCCCCAATTCCCGATTTAAAAAAAAAACCCTAAAACTAAACATCCCTCTCCCGGTAACGTATTTCGTCGTTCCACCACCCCCATCATCCGGCGAGTCAATCAGCGACCCAAATCGAGCTCTCCTCCGTCCAGTAACCAACCCTAAACCCTCTGGTGGTCTGAATTCGACGTCTGGCGACCCTCCACTCCTCCCGGCGACCCTCCCTCTGGAGGTCTCCTCCCGGTGAAATCCCTACACTCCCGGCGACTGCACTCCCTCTGACTCCCTCTACTCCCGACGACTCCCTCCTCTCTCGGCGACTCCCTCTACTCCCTCTAAGTTTTTTTCTCTTTAAGTTTTTGTCTTTCAAATTTTTTTTTCAGAATTCCGAATATGTATATAGTTTTGTGAATTTTTTTTTTGTGAAATCTGAATGTAGTTTTTTTCTTTCTTTTTGCCGAATGTGTATTGTTATGGTGTGTGAATTTTGAATTGGTTTCTGTTGGATTTGATTAGTGTAGCTATTTGGAATTGTGAATTGTGAATTGTGAATTGTGAATGTTTATGCATATTTGGATTGGTGTTAGTTGTATTGCAATGTTTTGCAATATAGTTAGTTGTTTTGATATAGTGTTAGTTTTTTTTCCTGAATGTAGTTAAATGGTGCTAAGTAGTGTAATTTTTTTGGAGCGGTGTGTATATATGTGGTGCAATATGTAGTTGGGAAATCCGAATGTAGTATTATTGTTTTTGTGGTTAGTGCATCATTTTTTTGGCCGAATGCATATTAGTGTGGTTTGCATTGTGTATTAGTTTGGTTTGTGTTGGATTTGATTAGTGCAGCTATTTGGAATTGTGAATTGTGAATTGTGAATGTTTATGCATATTTGGATTGGTGTTAGTTGTATTGCAATGTTTTTGCAATATAGTTAGTTGTTTAAATATAATGTTAGTTGTATTGGTGTTAGTTGTTTTGATATTGTGTATTAGTTTGGTTTGTGTTGAATTTGGCCAAATAATGAGTTAGGGCATTGATGTTTTCTTTGGTTGCCTTGTGTAGGATTGAAATGGTGGAGGAGGCATTAGGCTCGCAATATGAATATCAACCTAAACATCTTCACCCGGGGACGATACAAGATAAAATGCAATATCGTCAAACAAAGCATAGGTCCCAAGCTGTCTATGAGAACAAGATCGACAACATTAAAACATTCCGTCTCAAGGGCCGTAGATGCGATGGCGATTTTTGAGGGATATACAAAGATATGACACTGGAGGTTAAGGAAGTCATCAAGAGAGCCGGTTTTGAGGGGATAATGAAAGTAGGGTACAAAAAATTGGATCTCAGTCTCATTACAACGTTGGTGGAACGGTGGAGGCCAGAAACCCACACTTTCGACTTCAATTTCAGAGAGGCGACTGTGACACTGCTGGATGTCGAGGTCCTCTTTGGTATTCGAGTGGATGGCGATCCAGTGTACGGGACGACAGTTAGCCGGAGTGCAGATGAATGGCGGGATCGATGTGAGACTTATTTGGGATTTCGGCCAGCCCAAGTAAATGGCCAATGTGTCAATGTTTGTATTTTCGAGGACGAGATGGGCCGTGCACTCCCTGAGGATTCCACAGTCCAGCGATTCGAGCAAAGGGCCCGGACACTTATTAGCAGTTTCATGTTTTCTAACAAGACGCAAAACACTGTCAATCTATAGTTCTTGCCCCAAGTTGAGGATTTGGATCAGTGAAGTCGATACAGTTGGGGATCAGCACTGCTGGCTGGTTTGTACTCTGGAGTATGCGAGGCATCACAGTACACCATGCGCGACGCCACTGGCGGTCTATATTTGCTATAGGTACGTATTAGTTTTCAATTGGTGTTATAACTGTTTTTTGCTTTCAACGTTATAATTTGAAGTTTTAACATTATTATTGAAATTTACTAGGTATGGGCGTGTGAGCGGATCGAGAGAATCGTGCAACAAAGAAAAGGAGTAGATTATTTGATTGATGAGAACATTATTATTGAAATTTACTAGGTATGGGCGTGTGAGCGGATCGAGAGAATCGTGCAACAAAGAAAAGGAGTAGATTATTTGATTGATGAGACTGCTCCATTAGCTCAGCGGTACGTATTTTTATTTCAAAATAACTCAATGTTTATTTCTATTTGTTTCTTATTCATCTTTTTTACTAATTCAAATGTACCCCTTCATGTTTGTTCATTAAGGTGGAAATGTAGGTATACCTACGGAGACACCCCAAGGAGCAACACCCCACCTTTTTGAGATCAATTAACAAGCCTGCGTGTTGAAGATGTAAGTACTTAATTTGGTATTTATATTAATTTTGAATTTCTTTTTGTTCCGGTTATACCATCTAAATAAATTCTTTTCGTGTAGTTTCGGTGACAACCATATGCAAAGGTCCTTCATAGACTTCCTGATTTCTGTAAACAAGACCAAGCCATTTGGACGAACAGATGTTGGATGTTCTGCTGGGCTATTAGGGAACCCCACGAGTCGGGCAGAGTTCTGAGACAATTTGGATACATACAGGATGTTCCCAAGCGCCCTATGATTAAAGATAATGCAGCATTTCTTCTCGATCATGCCCACAATATGTCTGGATATCCTAGCAACAATTGGGTGGATCACCATTCCGCAGTACATCGTCATTGGAATAGGAGAAAAGAGTACGTGCTACGAGATTTGGAGGAAGGAGACCCTGGCTTTGTATATGAGGGGTACTATGAATGGTTCATGGTGAACACTGTCAGGCTGATATCCAATCCCAAAAATTATGAACCTAAAGGATACAAGACTTCTTCGAGCCGAGTGAAATCATATGTGAGTTCAGTCTATATATTTTTTTTATTTCTTATGTTTTCCTTTTATTTTTTTATTTTTTGAATTTTACTCTCTTAATTAACGTCCCAATTTCTTTTCAGGGTGAAGTATTGAACAACATTCGCGTGAGTTCCGAGAAGTTTAGAGAAAAACGAGAAGATGAGAATCTCCTAGTCGAAGAACTCGACAAGCATTTGAACGATATCATCAATCAAACACATGTTGCTTTAACCCTAGGTGCAAATGATGAGATGGACGTGGAGGATACCCAAATTCTGATTGATGAAGAACCATCTTTGCCCTCGCAACCTCCGCCGGGTAAAAAAGCGAAACCGTGGTCGAGAGATAAGATTGGAGGATGAAGACAGAGAAAGGTCTCAATCCCCCCTCGGACATCGCAACAACAAACTGAGGGTCAACAAAATGAGGATCAAGCACATTCTTCTCGAGGCTTGCACATCCAGGTCGAGACTCAATTTGAAGACATTGGTGGACCCGAGACTCAGTTTGACCTTGGTGGACCCGAGACTCAGTTTGGTGGACAGTTGCAACCACGACCGGGAGTCCTATTTCTCACCATGGGGGAGTCCCAATCCCAACCCCAACCGTGTCAACAACAGGTTCAATACTCACGTATCTTAAGAGGGGAGACAGGAACCGGCAGGGCTCAAATAAATACACTCCGGATGCGCATAATAAAGGAAAAGGGAAAAAATGAGATGTATTTTGCACATTTAAAGTAGTTTTTGTATTGATTTTGGTTTGAAACTTGATTTGTTTCGTTGTTAATTGAATGCCATTTATTGTTTTGTTGCCAATAAATTTCTGTTTTCCAATGTTTCAGTGTTGTCGGTGCTATAAACAGGTTTTGCCAGTCCAATTTTTTTTTCAGTTCTGACATAGACTCGGATTTACGAAATTCGAACCCAGACTTTTTGTAAAGGATTCGGATTTCGTAAATCTGAATATGTAGCCAACTGGGAGTTCCCAGTTTGCAGAAAACAGAGGAGATTCAGATTACGATAATCCGAATCTACATACATTTGGATTACCGTGATCCGGGTTTACCCAAATTTAATTTTTCAACACATATTTTTTTTAATCCAGAAATTAATGTTTTATTCGTAAATACGGATTTGAAAAATCCGGATTTAAATTAATTACACTAATTTCTGTCATTACGTTAATATCGGATTTACATAACACAAATTCGAATTTCCCTCATCCGAACTACATTTTACCCCCCGAGTTTTGGTCACATCACCGTTGCCCCCTCGAGTTTTCATGATACTACCATTTCCCCCTTTGACCGGGTTAAACATCGAGTCAACGCTGATAATAGACAAAATGACCGAAAAACCAGAGCAATTTTCCGGGAAGAACAAAAAAAGAGAGAAATGTGATAGAAACTAGAAAACATAACATAAATATCCAGCGGCACTGCCTCTATTTTCATCTTTTCTTTTTTCCATAATCATCCAAAAGCATCACGCGAACACCGACGAAGAGCGTACGATGGCCGTCCAATTGTTCTTTGTTTTAAATCCTTCGATAGTAGCCCCCATTCAATTAGACATTCACCATATCAAAAACTCAAAATCTTGAAACATATAACAAATTTGCTTCTCTGTTTTCTTGCCCACTTTCTGTGCCACTGATTTTTTACCATACTGCCATTTAGCTATCTTTGTTATTCCTCCTTGTGCAAGTCTTCGAATTGAAAAGGGTGACTGGTGAGTGGCTTGTTTATTTTTTTATGTCAAAAGCTCAAAATTTTCAACACTTCAAATGAGGAATAGGGTTTCATTTGTGTAGCATAAATTAAGGATTACCCCGATTGGAGAATTAGGGTTTCTATCAAATTCTTTGATTTGATTTTCAACCGGATATATGTTGTTTGCAATTGAAACTTATGATTATGTTGGGATTTTCTGATGTCTTTCGTACTCTGGGTTCTAAAAATTTTGATTTGGAGATTAAAGACAATGGGTTGGTTTGGTGGTGATGTTACAAAACTGGAGGTACCGAGCGTTTCTTTGGTGGCGATCTGGAGGAGACTGAGTTATCTAGTCGAAGAATAGAAAAAGATACAGAGAAAAATAAAAAGGGTGGCAGAAAAACCTGATTAACTAATTAAAATCAACCAAAATTTTGAAAACGTCAGTGTGGGATATCCATTTTTGGCATGTGGAATAGTAATCAATATGGGTTAGTTAAGTGAGGGTATTTTTGTCTGTTCAAAAGGAAATTTTGATGATGTAGGATATTGCATCACTTTTCTGGCGAGCAAGGGTGTAAGTTGACCATGAGTCAAAGGGGGAAATGGTAGTATTACCAAAACTCAAGGGGGAAATAGTTAGGTGACTAAAACTCGAGGGGTAAAATGTAGTTTGCCCTATTAAATAATTGTAGCATGTGTTATTATTTAATTATTTCTTAATTTTTAAGTTTTAGGAAACTTCTAGGCTAAGAAATCCGAATAAGAGTTGTAATCGGATTTCTCTTCCTCCTTTCCTGACCAGACCCTTCCTTGGCCTATAAATAGAGGTCTTGGTTGTGGCTTTGAGGGCATGACTTCAATAATAAAGAATTTTATTCATAAACTTGTGAGATCCCTCTTTGTTTTCTTATTCTTGCGAGAATAACCTACTTTTCCAACAAACTAGGGTTTGTTCTTGAAGCGTAGCTAACCTGGGCCAAGTTTTCAAGTGTTCTTGGTCTGTGGATGCTTTATTTGAAATTTTAGTTGAGCATACCAAGCCTTTCAACGTTGATCTATAACGTGTGGGGAGCTTCGGGTCGTTTTGACTGGGGTTTCACATCTTAAACACCTTCTCCATCTTTCCTTTCTTTCCATCTCGTTTTTAGCTTGGATTTTTGTTGGTCCAGCTGTTTTTTTTTCGTGTTTTGTGTGCTTGCATAGGTTTTACTTCGTGGTTATTCAAAGATTCAAACATCAGGGCAACTTTTCAAGTCAAACTTCCGCAATAATCGAGCCTCGGATAAAGATTCATATCACTTCTTCAAATAAACAACTATGTATAACATATACATATACTATAATAATCACTATAGATATAGGTTAAGTCGATATGTAACATCTATATATATACAATAAAACCTAAACCCAAGATACAATTTGAATTCATATATATATATATGTAGTAATTGTAAAGATAGTTGATAATGTTAATATTAGCATGATAATTGTGGTGGTTTATGTGTTGTTTTGAATATTATCTATGCTAATATTAGTGCTTTGGTTCTTAATTTGATCATAGGAAGGATTTGAAATAAAAAGAAGAAAAGTGTTCATTTTGAAGAGATTTTGAAGGTTTTATTGAATCAAGTTTCAAGTTGGAGAAGAAGTGGTTGATTCCCGCGTGGGCACACAAAATCCATGCCAAAATCAATGAAGAAAGCAGGAAATTCCAGCAACAATATTGTATTCCCGCATGGGCACGCTGTAACAGGGACTAAATTGCAAAATATTCAAAGTTTTTGAGTCAATTTGTAATTTCTACGAACTTTAGGGTCCAATTTGCAAATTCTGAAAACTTTAATTGGTTGCTGCGATTTCTGAACGGGCTGAACGTGGGGATGCCCTAAATTTGAATATAAATAGTCTTTTTCTTATTATTTTGAGGGAGTTAGATTGTAGGAGGCATATGGAGGCTCTGAGCCTCTGGTTTCAAATTTTTCTCTTTGTTTTCTCCAGGACTAGCTCTGTAAACTTAAATTATGTACTCTTTTAATATTAATTTTTTCAAGATTAGTAGCTAAACCTCTTTTTTAGTTGAAAGATTTTATTGAAGTCTTGATGTTATTCAATTGTGAGATCTACTGTTTGCTTTCCACCAACAAATTTTGAGTATTTATTTATTCTCTTTGATGTGTATTGATGATTATTTGGCATTATTTGAATAGCTGGTAGCATTCAATTCTCCTAGATAATTTAATTTATTGAACAACAAGGTTTGTTTGTTCCTTAGAAGAGATAATGCAATTAATTACTTGGTAAGTAGTTTACTTGTGTTGTGAGAATAAATAATCAATTTTTAATGAAACAAGGTTTATTTGTTAGAAATTGAGTTGGGTCTTTGTTTGTCGAAACCTGAATCCTAGGAGGTTCCAGGTTGTGTTTTTGGCTATAGAGTGGTTAATGAAGGTTTCTTAATTGCATGTAATTAATAAAAAAGATTGAGTGGTTAGGAGGTTCCAACAACGATAACTAATACATTCATGATTTGTTGAGTTAATCTTTGCATCAATGATCAGTTGGATACATCAAGATGAAAATTATTCCTTTGCCTAGAGTTTCTCTTATTATTGATTTTCCAAAGCTATCTTTTATTATTCGCCAGTTATTTTTTGTCATCCATTAGTTATAATCCAAAAATTTGTCCATTTGGTTGCTTTACTTTTGATTAAAAATATTTTCGTTTCCTTGCTCCCTGAGGAGACGAGCCTACTCATTGCTATACTACTAAATTTCTTAGGAGTAGGTTCTTTTATTTTTGTTGGTTTGACAACCCACCAAATTTTGGCGCCGTTGCCGGGGAGCACGGTGAAGTGATTTATTTCTCTTTAGAAGTTGTTTTTGTTTTTGCTTTTGTTTTCCTTTTCTCTATTTTGTGATTTTACTTTTGCCATGAGTTCATTTGCATATCATCAGTATAAAACCTGGGATCCAAATGAGGTAAGAGTCCATCAGTCAACAACTAGATGAACTAACTTCTTCTGTAGGTCAACTCAAGCAGGTGCAAGCATGTGGTATATGTTCTATGCGGGGTCACACATCTAATTTTTCTCCAAATTTTCAATATCATCCACGAGGATATGTGGGTAACGAAGGAGGATTTGGGAATCACCACGAAGGGGATATGAGCAGAATCCATATACACATTATCCAAGTTTGCAAGATTGCCCAAATTACGACTACAACCCACTACCACCATCACAACAAGTGTATCAACCATCAATGCTAACGCCAGAGCCAGGTATGTCTTTAGAGGAAATGATTAGAAATTTGGCGATTAATGTGCATGATCTTATACACAAATCGTAATCTTCTTGTACTACAATTCAAAACTTGGAGAATCAAATGTCCTAGATGGTTGCAGAAGTTAGTAGATTAGAGGCTGAGACATTTCAGATTCCAAATCAAGTTGAGAATTATACTACAGAGAGTGAATGTACAATGGTGGTGGAAGACACTCAAATCAAGCAGGATGTACTAAAGAGGGAAGAAATAAAGGAATGTAAGAAGGACCGACCAAAGATTGTGATACCCCCTCTTTTTCCTGGAAGGTTGAGAGGACCGATTAAACAAGAGGTTAAGCCAGATAATGTGGAGATTCCT